AGTTTAAAAGAGATGTGTGAGGCAGGTTTTTCACACAAAGGGTGGTGAGTACCTGAAACACGTTGCCAGAGGAGCTGGTGGAAGCAGACACAATAGCAACATTCAAGAAACACCTGGATAAATGCATAAATAGGAAGGGAATAGAGGGATACGGATCATGTAAGTGAAGACAGTTTTAGTATGGAAGGGCAAACTGTGTTGGCGCAGGCTTGGAGGGCCGAAGGGCCTGTTCCTGTGCTGTATTGTTCTTTGAAATAAATAGGAAAAGCACAATGAAAGCTCAACATGACAAATTCCCTCAAGGACCATTTAAAGGTGCAGTGGAAACTTTAAAAGTGAAGTTTGGAAAGCAAAGACCATGCATGAGAAAGCATTGGTGGCCAGAATAAAAGAAGCTATTTTCCCTGGAGCGTCGGGGGCTGAGGGGTGACTTTATAGAAGTTTATAAAATCATGAGGGGCATGGATAGGGTGAATAGACAAGGTCTTTACCCCAGGGTAGGGGAGTCTAAAACTAGGGGCATAGTTTTAAGGTGAGCGGGGAAAGATTGAAAAGGGACCTGAGGGGCAACTTGTTCACACAAAACGTTGTGCGTGTATGGAATGAGCTGCCAGAGGAAGTGGTGGAGGCTGGTACAATTACAACATTTAAAAGGCATCTGGATGGGTACATGGATAGGAAGGATTTAGAGGGATATGGGCCAAATGCTGGCAAATGGAACTCGACTAATTTAGGAATCAGGTTGGCATGGACGAGTAGGGCTGAAGGGTCTGTTTCCATGCTGTGCAGCTCTATGACTCTGAATGATGGTTCAGAAAAGGTTATTTTAAGAGAGAGTGAGAGAGAGACAGGATGAGGTTAGTCCACTCTGAACCTCACTGCAGGGATGATGGTCCCATTGGCCTGAGTGCCCACCATAAAACCAAAGTGTAAAGAAGAAAGCTTTTTTGAGATATTTGTGCTTCCACACCTGGGTCTTCGCAGAAATTAAAGGACTGTTTTTATCTGAGGAAATGTGGTTAGTGTTGCAGTATTTCCTCAACTGACTCACGGGATCTGGGCATCATTGGCTGGGCCAATCAAATATTGCCCCATCCCTAGTCGCCCCCTTGAGAAGGTGGGGGTGAGCGGCCTTCTTGAACAGCTGCAGTCCATGTGCTGTGGGTTGACCCGGGAGGTAATGGCCTAGTGGTATTATCGCTGGACTGTCAATCCAGAGACCCAGATAATGTTCCGGAGATCCGGGTTCAAATCCCACTGTGGCAGATGGTGGAATTTGAATTCAATAAAAATATCTGGAATTAAGGATATAATGATGACCATGAATCCATTGTAGGGAAAACCCATCTGGTTCACTAATGTTCTTTAGGGAAGGAAACTGCCATCCTTACCTGGTCTGGCCTACATGTGACTCCAGACCCACAGCAATGTGGTTGACTCTTAGCTGCCCTCTGGGCAATTAGGGATGGGCAATAAATGCTACCTAGCAGCGACACCCTAATCCTATGAATGAATAAAAGAAAAAAAAACGCCCCTTAGGGAGGGAATTCCAGGATTTTGACCCAGTGATACTGAAGGAATGGTGCCCATCAAGCGAGGGCTGCTTTGTCCTGGATGGTGTCGAGCTTCTTGAGTGTTGTTGGAGCTGCCTCCATTCAAGGGGCAAGTGGGGAGTATTCCCTCACACTCCTAACTTGTGCCTTGTCGATGGTGGGACAGGCTTTGGGGGGAGTCAGGAGGGGAGTTACTCGCTGCAGGATTCCCAGCCTCTGTCCTGCTCTTATAGCTGCTGTGTTTATGTGGTGGGTCCAGTTGAGTTTCTGGTCAATGGTAACCCCCAGGATGTTGATAGTGGGGGATTCAGTGATGGGAACACCATCGAATGTCAAGGGGTGGTAGTTGGATTCCCTCTTATTGGTGATGGTCATAGCCTGTCATTTGTGTGGTGCAAATGTCACTTGCCACTTATCAGCCCAAGCCTGGATATTGTCCAGATCTTGTTGCATGTGAACACAGACTGCTTCAGTATCTGAGGAGTTACGAATGGTGCTGAACATTGTGTAATCATCGGCGAACATCCCGACTTCTGACCTTATGATGGAGGGAAGGTCATTGATGAAGCAGCTGAAGATGGTTGGGCCTAGGACACTACCCTGAGGAACTCCTGCAGAGATATCCTGGAGCTGAGGTGACTGACCTCCAACGGCCACGACCATCTTCCTACCCACCCAATTTGTACAGAGCAAGCTCCCAGAGACAGCAATGTGAGAGAGATGTGAACTTTCTGGTTTGGGAGATGCTGTGTTGTTCTCGGGATTCCAAATGGTTAGCGAGCAATGAGTTTGACATGAAATATTTCCTTTTTAGATCTCTCTTGCATTCCAGACGAGCAGCGATGGATAAACTCCCGTCAGTCCTGATTTTCCTGTGCATCTTTGTGGGTAAGTGTCTCAAGTCTCACGTCAGGAGGGCTTGGAGCATTCACTGTTCAACCTCAGCAAATGGCCAGCTGTCTTTGTGAATTAGACAGTGAGAGATTATAGGGCCACGTAAAGTCCCAAAGACAGAGAGAGCCGGGAGATGGGTGGGTGTTTTACCTGAGGGTCAAGCGAGGGGAAAGGTTGAGAAGGAGAGTCTTTCACAGTAACCCTCTAACAGTGCCCATCCCTAATTGCCCAGAGAGCAGTTAAGAGTCAACCATATTGCAGTGAGTCTGGAGTGACCAGAACAGGTAGTGACTGCACTGTTCTTAAACATATAGGGAGGTGATGGCTTGGTGGTATTATCGCTGGACTGTCAATCCAGAGAATTGGTTAGGGCCACTTTTGGAACACTGTGTTCAATTCTGGTCTCCCTGCTATAGGAAGGATGTTGTGAAACTTGAAAGGGTTCAGAAAAGATTTACAAGGATGTTGCCAGAGTTGGAGGGTTTGAGCTACAGGGAGAGGCTGAATAGGCTGGGGCTATTTTCCCTGGAGCGTCGGGGGCTGAGGGGTGACCTTATAGAGGTTTATAAAAACATGAGGGGCATGGATAGGGTGAATAGACAAGGTCTTTTCCCCAGGGTAGGGGAGTCCAAAACTAGAGGGGCATAGGTTTAAAGGTGAGAGGGGAAAGATTTAAAAGGGACCTAAGAGGCAACTTTTTCACACAGAGGGTGGTGCGTGTATGGAATGAGCTGCCAGAGGAAGTGGTGGAGGCTGGCACAATTACAACATTTAAAAGGCATCTGGATGGGTACATGGATAGGAAGGGTTTAGAGGGATATGGGCCAAATGCTGGCAAATGGGACTAGATTAATTTAGGATATCTGGTCGGCATGGACGAGTTGGACCGAAGGGTCTGTTTCCGTGCTGTACATCTCTATGACTGTATGACCTATTTTAGAGGTGAGAGGGGAAAGCTTAAAAAGG